AACCATAGTTCTTACACGTGATTCGGAAATATAATTTTTTTGTTGTTGTCATTTAGAACCACAGTTCTTACCTGTGATTTAGATATATAATTCTTTCCTGCCATTTAGAACCACAGTTCTTACACGTGATTCAGAAATATAATTCTTTCCTGCCATTTAGAACCATAGTTCTTACACGTGATTCGGAAATATAATTTTTTTTGTTGTTGTCATTTAGAACCACAGTTCTTACACGTGATTCGGAAATATAATTTTTTTGTTGTTGTCATTTAGAACCACAGCTCTTACCTGTGATTTAGATATATAATTCTTTCCTGCCATTTAGAACCACAGTTCTTACACGTGATTCGGAAATATAATTTTTTTGTTGTTGTCATTTAGAACCACAGTTCTTACACGTGATTCGGAAATATAATTTTTTTGTTGTTGACATTTAGAACCACAGTTCTTACCTGTGATTTAGATATATAATTCTTATATGTAATTTGGAAATGCATTTCTTTCCTTCATTCACAATCACAGTGAAATGGTTTGCCCACTTAGAGAGAATGCCTTGTAACACCATACCATACAAAGCATACATGGAAAGAGAAGAAGGACGTAGAGCACGGGGTAGACCAAGAACTTCTTCTTCTTCTTCTGCGTTCGATATCAGTCATGCTAAACATTGAGTCCCGTCTGGGTCACAAATAGGATTGTGCGTTTAAGGTTGCTACCGGTCCCCCATAGCTTCTCTTGCAATGTGGCTCCTTAGGGCCAGATCCACAGTCTTTGCTGGGAGAGGTAAGGGCAGTACTGCAGTATGTGTTCAGGGGTTTGTCTTTCTGCTCCACAATCACAGGCAGCAGATTCTTTTATGCCTATCCTGTACAAGTGTGCTCGAAGACCACAGTGTCCAGTCCGAAGTCTAAGAATTTATGTTTGTTCTTTCCTGTTGAGTTTGTTTATGCTGTCACTCTCTGGTCTGTAATCTCCATTCTGCCTTCTCCACTCCCGCTTGAAAGACTGCTTCAGCGCTGTTTTGGTTTCCTTGTAGCTGTGTGGTGGATGAGGTTGTGGAAGATTACTCCCAGCTTTTGACAACTCATCTGCTCTCTCATTTCCTTGAATACCACAGTGGGCTGGTATCCACTGCAAGACCAGTTCTGCTTCCTTGGAGAGTAAGCCAATGTTGGTCCTTAGATCAGCAATTATTTTGTCTTGTTTTTTGCTGGATAGTGCTTGGAGAACAGACAATGAGTCGCTAAGTATAACAATTTGGTGCCCTCTGTGTTCTTGAGTGATGAGATGTTGGACTGCAGAGAGGAGAGCAGTTGCCTCAGCTCTGAAGTTAGTGCAGATGTCACCTGCTGGTAGAGAGAGAGATTTTGCTCTACTGCTAGGGGGTTTAATGTAAATTCCACAACCCCCCTTTCTGACTGCATCTGTAGCAGAGCCGTCGGTGAAAACCTGAGTCAAAGTGGTGTTTGGATACTTTCATCAAGCATAGCAAGAGCCAGGGTTCTCTGTTGTGTCTCCGTCTGGGCATCTTTTGAAGTGATTCCTGGTACCTTTAGGACTACATTTGCTTTCTCTGGCTTGCTTGTCCATGGTTCTGGCCTACGTTTTCGCACAGTGCAACATCTCTTTCAAGCAAATCTTGGTGCTGTCTGTTACAGTTCTCTAGCAAGGTGGTTGGGGGCTCTGACGCTTCAGTCTGTTTTTTGTTCTCTCTTGAAATTTAAAATGCAGTGGGTGACTTGAAGTCTTTTTAATTTCTCATACTGTAAAAGAGTGTTGTATTGTCTTCTGAGTTCGAGTGGTTCAGTATCTGCTATCTTTTCTATTTCTCTGATGGGGGTGGTTTTCATGGCTCCGAGAACAATCCTTAATCCCATATTCTGAACCTTGTCCAGTTTTCCCATTGTTGTCTTGGCTGCTGCAGCCCCATGCAGTGGAGGCATATTCCATGACTGGCCTGACTGCTCCAGTATATACTTGTTTTAGGATTCTAGAGTTAGCGCCCCATGTGGTACCGCTAATTTTTTCATAACTGCAAGCTTCTTGAATGCTTTTCCCTGTACGGCTTCTACATGTGACTTCCAAGTTAGTCGCGATTCAAGTGTAACGTCCAGAAAGGTAGGAGTGTCAGTCTGTGGAATGAGCTGGTTTTTAAATCCAAATTCGATTTTTTCTTTTTTGGGGAGAGAGAGAAAAGTGATGCTGTGCTTTTGGATTTATTTAGCTTTAGACCCCACTTTTTCGGTCCAGGCTTCTACATTTTCCACAGTTTTCTGTAACAGATATGAGGCTGTGGTAGTGTATTCGGAGGCTGTCCAAACTGCAAAGTCATCGGCATGTAGGGTATTAAAAACGTGCTGGTGGCAGGTTGCTGTGATATCATTAATGTAAACCAGGAACAGAGTTGGTGATATAGCACTGCCCTGGGGAACTCCTTCTCTAAGTTTTGCCAGTTTGCCAATGTGTCCATCAATTCTGAATCTGGCTCTGCGTTGGAAAAGAAAGTCTTTGATCCACTTGTACATGTTGTGCACAACTCCTGCCTGTAGCAGTTTTAGTTGTAGGCCTTCTTTCCAAAAGACCAAGAACAAGATGGAAGGATAACATTAGAGAAACTCTACAACAGCACGATGTGCCTATGGTCGAGGCAGCCAGAAGAGCTAGAAATAGAACCTTATATCTCCCTCGACACCCACAGCGGTAAAAGAGGAAGTGAAGAAGAAGAAGAAGATTCACAATCACAATTATTACCCGTGTATTAGAAATAAAATTCTAACAGGTGATTTGGAAATACAATTCTAACAGGTGATTTAGAAATGCAATTCTCACAGGTGATTTGGAAATACAATTTTAACACGTGATTTAGAAATGCAATTCTAACAGGTGATTTTGAAATACAATTCTCACTGGTGATTTAGAAATACAATTCTAACAGGTGATTTGGAAATACAATTCTAACAGGTGATTTTGAAATACAACTCTCACTGGTGATTTGGAAATACAATCGTTACCAATGATTTAGAAATACATGTATAACAAGTTATTTAGAAATGCAACTCTTACACGTGGTTTAAAAATACATTTCTTTCTGTGATTTAGAAATATAGTTCTTACCCGTTAAAAGAAATAATTAATGTGCCGTCTCAACAATGAAGATTGGCTGCAATAGATGTCCAGCACTCAGACTCTAGTCATGGTTGTATACTTTCTCAAACTGATATTCCCCCGGTCTCTTAATATTGTTCTCCCAATTGTATAGCTGTCTACCTCTTGCTCTCTTGCCTTCGACTTTTCTCTCCAGTATGTTTTGTCTTTTAATTTGGCTGAAATATGTCAGTTGTCGCTTTCTTTGTGTTGTTATTTATTTCAGCATCTCTTTTTTTCATCTTTCCAGAACCTTTGTATTTGATTGTTTTTGTTTCCATGAAATACTACATAATCTTCTGTATAAACACATTTTCAGAAACTAAGTTCGATTTTCTGGTTCCCTGTTTATTATCCACGTTGCTACACCACACAGCCGGGTGAGTATACATAACATTTGACGATTATATTGTGTTGTTATTCACGCTAGCTGTCAATAATTGTTGCATCTTACTGAATTTTGTATGTTCAGTTTCTACCATCATCTGTTATTATGTGCCCCAAGATAGGAGAAACTGCTCACTTGTTCTAAATCTCTCTGTTTACTGCGATGTTCATCGTTGGTTGCTCCCATCCATTCTTACTTATCAGTTTTTGTTTTTGAAATGGTAATGTCTAAACCTTCTTCTTTTTTTTTTTCCTGTTCACCGATTGTAAACTCTGCGTAAAGCTCTCGTTTTTCGTCCACTTTTGGACTTTAGTGGTGTTCCAGAATTTGAGTTTCGTGTGCACATCCGTTTTAAGATCTGACTCTTCTTTGTGAGCAGATTGTTAGTTCCTCGTCTCTCGTGAATATGCACTCCAGCTTCGAAGGAAACCGTCATAATTAGTCGACGGTTACGACATGCTTATTAGGGGGCAGTGGGTCTAATTCCCCTCTCCCACCCACCCATCTCCCCAAATAGGGCCCCGGAACCCACACGGGGAACGTCGAAACCATACCCTATACTAAATCTGTTTACTTGGTCCACAAGGTCCTGTTACTCTTGCTGACTTCCTGCAAGTAAAACTCTGCTATCAGCAAATCTGATATTGTCTATTATTCTTCCACTGATATTCAGTCCATGCAATTCTCTAACTTATTTAAAATAGTTTTTTTTTTTTTTAAATATAAATTGCTTGGGTATAATGCACAACCCTGACGTACTCCTCTTTTTATCTCAATCTGTGGTTAGTCGATGATGTTGTGTCTAACTGTTGCTAAGTGTTCCTAGTAAAGGTCCCCTTACAAGCCAATGGCGCATTCGAGCACATTAAGCTAGCCATATATTTATGCAGACCACGAAAGTTCGTGGGTTTGGATCCTGAATCAGCCCCCCCCCCCCCCCCCCCCCGGGCCACAAAAAAAAAATTACCTTGTCATTCAGGATGACCCAGCCTTGAGTGAGTACCAGGAATAGTTTGGGAAGTAAAGGCGGCCGGCGTGATGCTGACCACATCACCTAGCCCTATATGCCCAATAAGCCTAAAGTTATGTTATGGGATCCTTTACTCTACTAGTAGGTGATGTGGTCAACACCACGCCGGCGTTCTCAGTTTAGCTTACTATAGTAAGTTCCAAAAATCGTGCCCTCAAACTTTAACACAAATCTCGAAAACTCACGTATTGATCAACGTTAGTTTTTACACGTGCTTTTAGATGTTCCATGTCCTTATGACTTTATATTTGCACAGATGCTACTTTTTTTTTAAATTCCTTGGATATGAAAGTGCACCAGGCGGGAGAGCTGGCCAAAGACAGTTTCCTTCAGGCAGGTCGTGATGAGAGCGACGTTCTGCAAAGGACCTGCTACATGATGATGATGATGGTGATCACTTTACACTTATTACCTGCGATTTAGAAATACAGTTCTTACCTGTAAATAGGTCTTGGCTCCCGGAGCTTTCGTTTTAAACTGAACCGAGAGTATGGGGAAGACAAAGATGTTGAACATGATGCCAACTGCATACCAAAATGGTCCGGCAATTCCATTCTGAAAATGAAAGAGCAAACAGAATTTTCAAGGGCGGCTTGTCCAGCGATCAGAAACACTATGTGTTCTGTTGTTCAGCTCTCGGGAAAATCCATGGGTGCTCCGAATTTCTCGTCTTCTTCTTCTTCGCTTTCGCCGGTTGTAACCTCAAGTTAATTGTCTCTGTCTACCTTTGGTCTCTAGTCCTGTTCCAGAGTCATACTGCTACGTCCACAACCGAGTTATAGCTCTGACTAATTTTGTTGGTTTGTTACCTCGCAGCACATGGCCTTTGACTTCGAAGGAAGCTTTCATTTAGTTGACTCTTACAACGTATATTTTCGGATAGGCACTGGGTCTCTTCTTGTTTTTCCCCATGATGGAACCCGACAACCAACACGGGGACGGTCTCCTCTTCAATAGCTACTTAAGTTAAGGTTAAAATCTAGGTGATCGATTTCACTGCACCGTGTTGCTTTCTTCACGACTCGGTCTGTTTCCGCAGAGCGGCTAGCCACCAGCGTCGCACAAAACACGAAACACACTAGCACCGGCTACTATCCTTGGGGTCTCCGTAAAGATTGCACTAGTGAACCGAACAACGCAGCCGTGAACTGAACCTACGACCTTCATGGAGCGAAGCAAACAACTTGACCACTTCGCCATCCCTCAACTCATTAGCTCTACAACAAGCGTTAGATGACTGACCACGGACGGCTTGTATTGATAATGATAAATAAAACGCCATGTGCACCTTATGTAAAATATTAAAAGCAGGATGCTCCAAGTTGCACTGCCCATCTATACCAACCATATCTTTTAGTAAGTATAGTTATGATAAATTTATATTCAATGCATCTTTTAATTTGGCAGCAGTTCGCAGAGGAAGACATACAGTCACGCCTGAACAAAGCTAGAGCTGCTTTTGGACGGATGAGGCAAATCTGGAAATCCAACAATTACCGCAGAGGAACGAAAATCCGACTCTAAAGAGCATCATTTTGCCAGTTCTTCTTTATGGAGCGGAATGCATGTAGAATGACCAAAAAGGATGCACACAAACTGTCCACCTTCCACCACGCAAGTCTATGTAGAATTATCAAAATTTTCTGGCCAGATACAATCTCAAACACTAAACTACTTCAAGCCACAAACCAAGAAACTCTAGACAGTATGATTACCAAGAGAAGATAGAAATGGCTTGGCCACGTTATGAAAATGACTTCTGATATACCTGCCAAAACAGCTCTCACATGGACACCAGAGGGAAAGAGAAAACAGGGGCGCCCAAAAACAACATGGAGACGAACGGTGGAAAGTGACCTGAGTGCGGCATCTTTGACATGGAAAACTGCAATGAAGATTGCACAGGACAGGAAAGTATGGAAAGTCCTCTCTGAAGCCTCATGTGCCACTAGGCATAACGAGAAACTGATGATGATGATGAGTTCGCTTTGCGTCGGTTTCGTCAATGGTATCGAGAGACGACCGTTGAGTGCAATGGTAAACTACTGAACGTAAAATTGCCTAGTGAAAGCCCAAACAGTTTAAGACTGCTGAGGCTAGAAACGCTAATTCTTGTAAAGCAGAGCTATTCAACTGGCGGCCCGCGGGCCAAATCTGGCCCCCAGATGCCGAGCAAGTGGCTCCTGGATCATTGCCAGTTGTATTGTATTAATGATCTTTCTCCCCAGGGCTCGGATCAGTGGCCCGTGACGACCCTCAATTACATAATTTTTAGGTTAGCTGTAAATGATGCACAACTAACATTACATTTATGGTAGTTATAACTTTCGAAATGGAAAATAGCTGGACTGGAGAAAAGATTACGTCCAAGAGAAACCATAAGGCGAACGTTGAAGGAAAAAAAGCCAAAACGGCTGCATTGGATTCCGTCCATTATTTGGAAGTAATACAATGGAATGTGGAAACAGGTTGCGAACCCACAACAGTGCAGGGAAGGAATTAATAAACTTTATCTTTCGATATTTATGCTGCCTACTGCACCCTCCTATCTGTACAAGTTTTTTTCTATGAATGCCACTCCATGCACGTTAATTTATTTGTATTCTATTTGTCTGACCTCCATGGTTCTTCAGTTATTTATAACAGAAAGTTTCAGCCAGGCCAATGTAGGGGCAACTGATGCCACAATATCGTTGGTAGGAAACTTGTCTGGCTCCCATGTCCATGAAGCTGGCTGGGCCACAAAGACCCCTGGGATAATGTAGTCCTGTGTCTGATGGAGTCTTCGTCGTCGGTCATCATCATCATACTGTCGTCATCATCAACGTCGTCATCATCACATTATCGTCGTCTTTAAGGTCGTCATCTCCCCCGCCCCTCCCACAAACATATGCGGGGTCACTGAGAATATTTGCTGTGACTTTACACTGTCAGTATAAAAGAAGTATTTAATGGATATGCATGTGTGACATCTAAAAATGTTCAGAAATGTTTAAAGTTTTAGACTTAACTAGGTGACCTGGATATGTATGCCTTTTGTTGATGTATGGCTGCATTTAGTCTCCTGACTCATCTTCGGAATCGTGTCTAGAGTTACAGTAGCAACTGCTGCAGCAATCTGCTTTTTAATGTGCCGGATGTTCCTGATTTTTTCGGTGTTGCTTTAAACCTCCTGGCCACACCGGGTCACACGAACCTTTACACTTTTCTTAACATTTTATGGTGCCACACATGGATATCCATTAAATACTTCCTTATAATAGCAGCCCAAATTTACGGCAATCATTGTCCGTGACCCTGTATAGAAGTTCTCGTTTCATGTGATGTAAGTGGGCTAACGGAAGCTGCCTCGGTGATGCGGCTAGACGCTTGCTTTTGGATCTGAAGGTTAGGGAGTCAGATCTAGACGTGGCCTGACTTCAAATATGACATTGGCTCCCAAGTCCACCCAGCCTTAAATGGGTGTAACATCCTGGGAAGTAAAGGCGGTTGGTGTCATGTTGACCACATCGCACTTTAAGTGATAATTTTTCAATGAAAATGGGCAAGCCCTATATGCCCAATAGGCATGAAGGCTTGGAAGAGGGCCCTTTACATTTCTTTTTATGGGCAGAGCCTGCCCCCAAATACTTACCCAACGATGTTTTTCTCAGTGTCAGTGCCCCAGAGCTGAATGCAAAAGCTGGAGACACTGCTCTAACGCGACCTCTTACCTGCGGGTATTTGGGCCTAATCATTCGAACCCGGCTGAACGAACATATAGTCGGATGCATTGCGTTTGGTTCATTAGTTAGTCCGGGTATTCGTACGTTCAGCATGCAAGGACACGATCTGATCTAGCTAGAAGGCTCACTGGCTTCTAGAGGCTGCATCTCTTTCACCCTAAACTGTTTATTGTGGGGTCCGTCTGACTTCTTCAACAACGAGTACAAGTTACGGATATCTTCTTCTTCTTCTTCTTCTTCTTCTTCTTCTTCTTCTTCTTCTTCTTCTTCTTCTTCTTCTTCTTTTTCTTCTTCTTCTTCGTTTATCTGAAGACGTCAATGCGTTGTGCCCGTTTACAACGTGGCTGCGATAACTGCGATTTTCGGCCGACACATCTTCTGCCGACAATTTTTGTTCTGGTATCATCATCATCGTGGTCATCATCATCATCAGCATTATTATCATTATTACCGTCCTCATCGCCTCCATTATCCTAACTTACAACTGTTTTAATTAATGAGTCTGCAGGCGATTTGCTTGAAGAACGCTTTGATTTCGACAGCGATGTGGACGTCGTCCCGTTTCAGTAGAAGACCATAAGAATACTTGGAAAAATCACATAAATGTCAGTAAGATCTGGAACACAAAGTCCAAAACTGAATAAATAAACAAAATTTTCGTTTGGAGATTACAGTCGGTGAAAGGGGGAAAAATGAAGTTGAAAAGGAATACTCCTTTTATGCGTGTAATGTTTTCTCATTATTGTTCGATAAAACCACATCTCTGTAGTTTTTAATGTAACAACACTTTTTATTCACTTATCATCCGATTAGAAGCCAAGTAGCGTAGTGCCAGACGCTTGCCTGAAGGCCAGAAGGTTTTGGCTTAGAATCCATGTTGTCAGATTTTGCTTTTAATTTTTCAAAATCAACATAAGCTTCGCGGTCAACCTATCCTAAAATGAAAACCAGGTAATCTCCTGGTAAGTAAAGGGGACCGGTGTGCTGTTTACCACATCGTTCATACAGTACCGATTAATCTATTTTTAAAAAAAAATTGAGTTAAGCATCATGTACCTGATTTGCCACCTGCGTAAACAAGGCTTTTTACTCTTTTTTTTTAAATCAGCTGTTTGTCCATGATTCATTTCCATAGATCTGTACTGGCAATACATAACCCTTAAATCCTTTAGTTCCCAACTATATCACAGTAGATGTGAAATGATTACACTAATAAAAACGAGAAAAAAAGTAAGAAAAATAAATCCAAACGGGCAACACTTATTATATTTTATAATAAAACATCTAGCCAGATTTATATAATGTGCTCAGACCAAACGTAAACATACTTTGCTCGATATAAAGGGGCTATAGTCTAATGACATATGGTGCATAACTTGAGACTTGCCGAGTTAACGCATTTTTAACCATTGGTTCACAGTGGCAATAAAATCCAGCTCTAAGTTTTGAAACAACATGGCCCTGTTAGACTAAACTGGCAGTAATTCCACTAGCCGCTCTAGGTACATTATCGTTGCGGAAATTTGTTCATTTCACAGTACTTCATGGTACTTCACGACACTTCATGGTACTTCACGACGCTTCAGCTACGGACAGTAAGGGCAACCGGAGAGCTTCTCATTCTATCCCCCGTTGGGGTTAAACGGTCATGCGACGACGTACACTTGACCCAGAAGCGAAGCGAGGTCATCTGGAAGCGACAGGTTCGATTCCCAGTGTGGCAACTATATCTTTTGATGTGTATATTTTGTAGTACGCGGGTTCCGAACGCCTAAATAGCAGTCTAGATGGAGTCACGACGGATTTTCAGTTGGGTCGTAGGGCAATAGT